CTCGTTTTCCGACAGAAAGAGAAAACTGCAGCCCCGGACCGAAAGGTGGGCGTCTCAATCTAAACCAGCCTTGTCTACCAAGAATCGATACATCGAGAAGGTAGCATGTCTAACTAGAATGCCCTAAATTGAGGAAGTGAAAACTCCTTTGATTGTTCTTCGCAGACCGGCCATGTGATCTCCCTTCCCAGGTCTTATTGCCGAACCGGTTCTCCTTCTCCCATCTGATATTTTCATTACAGTTATAGCCTCAAAATAGGCAATGAATTGCGGACAACTTTCTCCTTCGCCGGTAGTTTCGAGAGCTAAGCCAATTCGTTTCTAGTTTTGTAGGAGGCCATAACATCAAAAATCAGGAGAATCTTCCTAATCTTTGACTTTGAAGTGGGAATGGTCACAAATAGAGAGAAAAAAGAAGAATATGTTAAAGGTTTCCCGATTGAATACGAAGTTTAACATCCTGAACGAACTGCTTTCCTTAAGCTAGCGCACCGGCACCGCTCCGTGGGCTTGCCAGTTTTCACATTAATGAGACAAGTCTGGTAGAAAGAGGACGTCTCTGCCCCTTCACCTGACACCTACTGCTAGGCAGAAATCCCCGCTTTCATTGAGGGAAACTTATTGAAGTCTGAAATCTACTTTAAACTCTTTGGAATTAGACAAAGGCAGGGCAAACCGGAGCCTAATGTTTATACTATCCATGAACTGCCTGCATGAATTCCCTTTGTGAAAGGCTCAAGAGTACACTGAGTTAGGCGAGATCAAGATTGACATATTTACTTCATTTTCATTAGTATAAGTTTGTTTGAAGGTGGGTACCGTGGAAGGGGTAGGTTCTCTCTGAAAGATAGACTCGGATAGGAATAGAGAATAGAAGCTGACAGCAAGCATTCTCCTCCGGGCTTAAGTAGGCTGCAGGAAAGCAGGTAAGACAATGACGAACTCGGACATGAAATGAAGTTAAGTATGGACTTTTTAACAAAAGCAGGAGTCAAGTTCCGAGCCGGAATTCTTGGGCTTCTCTCGAGAAGATAAAAAAGATCAGATGTTAATGATAGCATTGTCGACATCTGTCCCTTGAGAAAGAGTAAGATAGGCAAAAAGGCATAGAGACAACAACGGCCGCATCTCTCGATGAAAAGGCCAGCAAAGAAAAGCCCCTCTTCCTTCCCCTTCGGGCAAGCAACTTTCCTTCTTTTGCCCTCTCTCCTGCCCTTTACTTTAGGGCATGGAATTTCGGAGTGAATGAGTGCAACAAAACAAGGAAAGAAGGCTAGGAGATGACTTGTAATCGATCCGGCTGTTGGACCCAAGACCCGGCCCGGATATTTCATAACTGTTTCATTCGAAAGGCAGGCCAGGGGGATTAACGATACTATATTGGTTTCATCGCCCCCCAGCAGATCGAACAACAGATCTTTCCACTAATTCATTCTCCCATCGAGAGGATCAAAAGCGCGATAAAGAAAGATAGATTCACAGTGGGGTGACGTGCCTAAGTTCCCTAAGTTAGTTAGCGAATACGAGTTGCCCCACTTTAATGACTTCGTTGAGGAGAGGCGGAGGTTCGGGAAGAGCTCGATAGGGTCGAGAAAGGGCGTAAACTCCCATAAAAGTGGAATTGGGGAATTGTAAATGGAAGTGAGTTCGACCTGGAGTGAAGCTTTGGCGCGGCTATTAGATACGGATTGACGTGACGAGTTGACCTAAACGAAACGAGTAAGAACAATTTAAGGTACGTAGTCGCTTAAGCAAAGCGAAAGGAACGAGATTGATCACGGAAGAACTGCTACGCCCCTTTACTTAAGTAATATCCTAAGCTTCTCTCTTAGCCCTTTTCTCAGCCTATTCTAATTTCACTATTCTATTAGTCAAGGTTTTTGAAAGAAAGTCTACCGGACGTGGGAAAACTGACTGATAGTGAGAAGTCTAGAACTATTGAAAGATGATAGAGCTTTAGAGACTGATAGTGAGAAGTCTAGAACTATTGAAAGATGATGGGCTTGGCGACCTCTAGTTTGAAGCTTGTTGGTTGGGAGTGAAGTGATTCCAGGGCGGGGAGAACTTCACTTTTGACATAGCACAAGAACTTGACTTATGTAATTTCTTAATGGCCTTTAAAGACCAGCCATTATCGGACTCTTCTTATGCTTGCGGAGGGATGTAAGGACTACTTTGATGAATATTTCATTCTTTAGCTCCTTTCTTTATCCGATCCGGCCCGAAAGGGAAGAGATAAGAAAAGAAGGAATAGGTATAGCTCACATCTTAAGTATAGTTAGTTCATTGAATGACTTATTGAGAAGCTAGGGCCTACTTTCGTACCAAAGGGTTGAGACTTTCTTTCTGAGATAGATAGAATAGAATGGGCTCCTACTCTCTTTCAATCGCCGATGCTAAAAACAAAGACAAAGAGTGCGTAGACCCGAGGGGAGGTTGAGTCAGCAGCTAGTTTTTCCGGAATAGGAAGAAAGGGTGCTATTGAATCTTCTTGTTGAAGGGCATTTTAGCAATTAGACGGAATGGGTCTTTGTTTTCCATATTCCCTGCTCTTCTTAAGTCTACTCTCTCATGCTTTTTTGGGACCAAGCTTTTACCGGTTGAAAGGGAACTGAATGCTTAAGTATAAGGAATATGCCCTCTTAGCACTAGGACTGAAGGAAAAGGAGTAGGACTAGGATCAGGAGGTCTAATCAACGGAGGCAAGCAAGGAAAAGGAATGGATGCTACGAATGCTCTTTTTTCCCTAATTCATTTTGTTTGAGAAGCTGTGATCGGAACTTCTTTCGCTTTGAACGACTCCGGTCCTTTTTCATCTGTTAAATGGCTAGTCCAAGGTAAAGGAAATTCAAAAAAAAAGCAGAGAAGATCAAAGAAATGGAACCTAGAGAGAGAAGAAAAGCTTAGCGAGGAGATCAGGAATGAGGCGGAGATCGACGGCATTCCAAAGGTAAGACGACGACGAGATTCCTCTGAGAATCGGGTACAAGAACGTATTGTCGCCGCAGTTAACGGAAGAGTCCCCGAGGACGAATAAATTGAAAAGGCCCTTTCTCACCTGCAGCAAAGGAGGTGGTGACCAAGTGAAGACCTTCATGGCCTTACTACCATGGTATCTCTGGAACAGATTTTGCTTTCCTCGCTAGGAGGCTTTAGGTAATGCAACGACCTCAGTCAGGGACTTCGAACCATTTTAGGGGTGATCGGCACCATTGGTTATACTATAGTTGATTGATGCAAATCCTAATCCCATTCTGTGACAACTTTGAGTGCGATCGGAAAGGAATAAGGCCCGAAATGCCTACGTCGAAAGAAAAGGCAGTCTTTAAGTGAATGCACCCGGTTCTGCCTTAAATTGCTAAAAGAAAAGCGAACCGGCTAGCGCCCAGAAGAGATGTGTACTGGCCTGGGCAAGTGAAAGGCCAGCCGAACCTAAGTATCAAAGGGGGGGGCGATTGCTTTCTTAATGCCTTCGTGTCCCTCACGTGATCATATCCTACCCTCTGCTCCCTTTCCCTTTCGGGATGAGGAGGCCTATGAGCCGTTAGTGGCTAGAAGAGCTCCGGTTCCTTTCGGAAGCCAGCCAGTCAATTAACAAGTTCCGGGACTTTCACTGCTCATTGGTGAGCGCAAAGGAAGCAAGGCCATGCGCACTAAGGCTCAGAAAGTTACCAACTGACTAAAGACAGAATCCTGAGCGAGCCGAGTGCGTATCCCCTGAGTACGATGCCCTAGAGCTATTGCCAGATTTCATCTCAAATCGAGCTGCAGTTCCTCTTTCCTTTCAAACCTAGCTAGGGAATTGGATTTCGCTCTATCAATTCTGTCACTCTTATCTACGATAGCAGCAAACTCCACTTCTGAAACAAGAGAAAAGATCATATCGGCAACAGCAAGTAAAGTCTGAAATGCCTCAGAAGCAAGTCTCGGCTTAGCTGCATTATCTTCCTACCGATGTCATACTAGACTCTATTATGACCTGAGGGTGACTGAACTACCTTAAGCCCCGAAGTAAATTCTCCTTTCTTCCCTCTCGACAGGGAACTTATCTAGAGGAATTCATTTTTCTACTGAAAGTGCTTTTGATAGGGAATAGGGAAAAGCCTTGCCTTATTCAAGAGTACCAGGAAGGAGAAGAATAAGCATTACCTCTGTTGAAGGAAGAAGCCCCTCCCTTTGCTTATTTATTCTTCCTGGTCTTCGGGTCTCATCTGAACGGCTCGCTGCCTATTTAGTTACATTTTTTGTTTTGATTCCAGAACAGAACTAGAGATCCTGGCCCCCTCCCTTGAAAGCTCCTGGTGCTGCGACTATCACCGGTAAGTTGCGTCGGATCAACATCGGGATTAAAATAAACTGCAAAAGCAACTAAGTCAACGCCTATTTGCTGTGGATCTACTGGCCCGGACGCTTGAATCTATTCCACCGCAAACAACCGAATATACTACTGCAGGATCTTCCGCCGCTTTTGTTGTTATTGCTCTCACCTCTCACTACGCCACCTCAGCAGCTGGGACTCCCTAACCTTTTCTATCTATCTTTAGAAGTAGGGCGAGTGAGTCCGTTCCTTTCCCGTGAAGGTTTTGGGATATGTGACCAGATGCTTCCTCCAGATCTAACGTCTCTATCAACTAAATTCTCTTTTCTTCACCGGATCGATACTAACTTACCTACTCCTGCTCCTACCGGATCCAAGAGGGCCGATGCCCGATTCCCCGACCCATTACTCATTCCTTCCCGACTCGATAGGGATTGCAATCTCGAGAGAGGGAGCAACAATTGACCTCCGACAATAGGTAGATGGGGTGGGCTACGATGGATACAGTGAAATCAATCCTTATTCCGCACTCCCTCTCACCGGCCTGAAACATATATAAATCATGAATTCTTCAGAGCGGGCCGGCAGGCCAGGCGTACGGGGACCGTCGAAGAAGTGCCTCAACGCGCCGCAGCCACTACTTTGGCTCCTTTTATGCAATTATGAACTCCACGGAACTTTATCAATTCCAACGCAACTTATCCTTTTGGAGCTGACGTAACAAACTACGCGAGCCTCCCAACGAAGCCAACATAAATCCGATCCGAATAAAAAAAAGAAAAGGAAGTTTGATTATTGTGGTATACCAGCCACCTGTTCTGGAACTTCCAGTTCCAATCGAAGCATATAGATCCGTAAATAGATTTGTATGTATAGCCACTTCAGTCGTGCTCGTCCTTTCTCGAAAGTATCTTTTTTCTGGGAACATGGTCAACCAGAAATTATTATGTTCGCGATTCTTCATCCACCGATGGATAAAATGCTCCAGTTTTCCATTCTCATATGAGGCCGGAAAGTGGATTGGGAACAGGTCGGCACGAAGTGATTCATCATGCTCAAACATGAGCCGATCGCTCGTTAGGGACGGTTTATAGATCATAAAATTCCCACAAATGGAATGAAAAGTGGGTCCATGTAAATGATCAAGACCTCGCAAACAACAACGCTCCTTCCCCATATGGAGTTCGGAACCCAAAGGCAATCGTTGAGTGAACTGTATCTTTTTTGTGTTAGTTGACCTAAGCCGCACCCTTACTGCTGGGGTGGGGCTCGGCCTCCGAACCGTACGTGGGACGAGTTTTTGCCTCATACAGCTCGGGCCGAAGACCGGGGGAAGTTTAGAAGAGATGGGGAAACCTAGCAGCTGCCGGTCGGGGCGGGGATAAGCTTGCTTCTTCACAAGCCTATCCCCCCCAAAAAACCGACCCTGTAGCGCTAGCGCTTCGCGTTCTTTCTATTCCATCCCATTCCGGGATAGGCGGCTAATACTTAAATAATAAGTGAAGTAGTCGTCGTCTGACCAATCGGCTCGGACACCAGACCGCCCGTGCCCGCCCATTTTGTCTCGCCCTAAATGGAATGGCTCTCTTAGTTACGCTGCGCCCCGACCCGAGTCCCCACGTCCGCTTTTCTCCGCCCGCAACCCAATAAGTTGGCAAAGCCAACACAAGATTAGGGCCGTCCCCTTCATTCTATGCTGACCCCGGCCCGGGCTGGCTTCTTGGGAAGCCCGTTCCCACCGCGCTCACGGCCCGGCTGGCCTTCCAGCGGTAGTGGGAATTCTCCCGTTCCCTGGTCAAAGACTTGGTTGGATGCGGGATCTACTCCACGAGGAGCGGTACGGACGTAGATGATATCATCACGACCCCTCTTTTCGTACCGCTAGGGATGCTTAACGCCACTTCGCCAACTGGCGTTACCTGCGCTTTCGTGTCTCTCAGTGTGGTCAGCACTGGGTGTTTCCGAGCAGCGAGGCTTACACCCATTCGCATTAGTTCATCCAAAGTTCCTTACCCTTATGCACGAATTATTGAATAAGCCATCTTCCTATCAAGGTTAAGGAGTCAACTGAGCATCTCAGCGGCGGGATTGAATACCCGGATCGAATCAGAGTTCACGCCGCCCGCCCTGAACAAATAGGAGGCGTGGGCCACAGGTCGCACATAAGCCGCCGGGTCGCACGACAGAAGAACACCCAACATAAAGATGCACACTCCTCCATGTGAAATATTCATCTTCATAGGAGCTTTTTGATAGTAGTCGTGACCAACAGCCATCAGCTCTCGGCTTGTTGGTAAGGTGAGAGCTTCAAGCCCGATTTCAGGTGGCGCACCCTCCACACAAGCACCGCCCGACGAAGGGGGGACGGGGAAAGCTACAGGCCCAAAACCTTCGACCCTTCTTTCTAAATGGGGGTGCCCGAGGCACCTCATCTTCTCATTTCGTCGTTGCTCATTCCCGTTAGGCCGAAGTGTTTGGCCTTTCCTTCTCCGCGCCCGCTCAGGCTTCGCTGACCTATCGCGTGGTAAAAAGAAGAAAGTACGAAAGAATAGTAAACGGAGCACACCGCAGAAAGATTCGAAATATGAGAAGTCCCCCTTGGATTCGAGAAGAAGGAAATGAAGAACGGGAACGAAACGAAATAAAGCGTTTCTAGCTCTAGTTTCGGATGAGCTTCTCCCAATTATGTCTGGTAATAGAATAGGGCGGCTTGCTCTGACCAAGACTCCACTTTTTGCTCCGTCCGCGGAGCGTATGAATTTCCTGGAATGTAGATAGACCAAAAGAGGGAATGAAGGGATAGGAATAGGAATTATAGTACCATTGGAAAAAAGGGCACCTGTGGGAACATCTCTACTGACGAACCATTTCAATAGTACGGGTGCTGCCGTGCCACGAGGCACGACCACGGAAGTAATGAAAAAGAAAAAGTTATGTAGTTGGACCATCTGTTCTATCCGTTCGAGTTTTGCTTCTCTAGAGAAGATGAGAGGCTAAAAATGAAAGTGTTCGCAACACATACCGAAAGGGTACTAATTAAGCCGACCATTAATGACTAGTTAAAACACCAGGAGTGGTCTGATCCCCTATTTGATCAGACCGCTCTGAGAAAGAGAAAAAGCAAACTCTCATAGTTCGGAGCCCAGCTCCAACAACTTCTTCGTAAGTGAGGTGAGGTACTTCTTTTGGTTTGAATAGGGGGTCGCCCTTTTTTTGGTTGAAGTAGCCACGACTTTGGTCGTAGTCAGTTTAGCCCCATAAACCCAGTCCACTTGCAGCCATGTTGATCAAAATGACTAAGTTTAATGACTTGACCAGTCACTAGCCCTCGTATTATAAGATTCTCTCACCCTGTGGTCGACATTCCATTCCCCTTAGTCGTAGGTGCTCGTTCTATTTTGATTTGAATGGGCCGGGGCTCCCGAGGTACATATGGCCGGCCCTTCGGGTGTCTCGGTGATACAAACAAAGAAAAGACGATGGTTTTTAACATACCCTTGAACAAAAAGCCAATCCTTACCAAAGGAGGAAATAGAATAGAATAATCTACCTTCTTTTTTCCTTCCCGTTGATTCCCCCCGACAATCAAGCTGCACTTCCTTCTAACAAGTGGCTGAGAGTTAGCAAGCAACCTTGGCCTCTTGGCAGGAGGTTCGCTGTCCCCCTCCTTTCCGGTCCGGCCGCAGTACGGCACCTGAACTCGAAGCTACGATCAGATCCGATTGGATCTGGTCCTATCCGACCCAACCCCGGAACTTAGAACGGCCGGCCTGTTTGGACGGTAGAACGGGGAGAGGGGGAGTCGTGCCCATTCTCTATCCGGGCACGAGCAGGAACATCCAAAATAATGGAAAGGCGAATACATGTACATGATGTAACGACATATTCCAAAATACGTGATCCGATTTGATAGGCTGCCCGCAGAAAGGAAAGAGTTTACCGACCGCATAACAATTCATTCTTGTGTGTAGCGCCGTGGGCCCATGTCTCCCGAACGATCATAGTACGGCCGCTCATCTAATATAAAATCAATGAGTAGATCTCACCTCCCCTTCCCCATACCATAGCCGGAAGGGATAGCGTATCCACAGAAGAGAGAGTACGGGCCCTTGCCCACCATTTAGTTTAGACGCGGCTCGAATGCCTTTATGCTATAGGCTGTGTTAAGCATGCTTCTTTGACAGAAAACAAACTCTTTTTCCATGACAACAGTCGCGACTATAAAGGGCGGGGCGGTAAGCTCTCTATCAACAATAGGGGGCTATTCATAGTAAAAAACTACTAGACTATATGGATTCCAACTGAACTTCAACTTCTACTTGGTTGATTAATTCAGGGGCAGTGCTGGAACATAATGTTGGACGATCTCCATTTCCATATGGTAATTGAAGTCAAACAGGAGCAAACCAGGTGCAATTCAATCCTTATTCCTAGCAATGATTCCCAAAAAAGCAAAACCTCACTAGACCGAGGCCCATTGCTATGGGGACTACACTATATAAGAGAATGACTAAGGCAATTGCCAATAGTTTCTATTGAAAGACAGGCTGGCTCTTTAAAAAGGGCGCCCTCCTAATCTCATTTTGATAGGAAGAGATATTGATAATTATCCCAAGGAGGCTTACTACTCAGCTGATAGATCAGGTGAGCCAGCCATGATCACTAAACTCACCAAAGCAGCAGCATATGCAAATTGGAATCATAGGTTTCTATATGCTTAAGGAAAATGGGATTTGCAGAGTAGGATAGGAAAGTGTATTTATATACAATGGAAAGCCCCTATAATCCATGGACGACCAGTGGAGTTCATAAAAGAAAGCAAAGAAAGGTCCGCGACAAAGCTGTCCCCTCTCTCCATATCTCTACTTACTGGCTGGGTGCAGATAACACTGTAATAATAACAAAGCCAGATAGAGATACTGTTCGTTCAGAATTGATTCAGATGGCGAGGACCCACGGAAAAATCCACCTTATTCATGCTCCGCACAGCAACTTGCCCGGTCAATATTATATGTCTATGCTAAACTTGGTGATCTATTTTCGTTGCCCCCTTTAAGCGTATGTGATATAATCATTCTTATCTCAGAAGAGAGGTATGCATTGTCCCCACTTAAGTTATTAAGTATTCCCAAAGACGAGGCGATTTATTTTTATGTTGAAACTTTATGTCAGCCAGGGGACCCTGATCATAAATGGGTTGTTTGTCCCGGTGAAAGGGACGCTCTCCTTTTAATCGCTCTGACGCATATGTTGAATAGTTGTTTTATGCGTTCATCTATCTTTCAGGAGCAGTCGTGTGGTTTTCCCAGAGATCGCCGTGAGTTCTTTGCCAAATTAGGTGGAGTGGGGAAGATTATAACTATTTTCATCTTGAATCTAGCACCCTCACAAGGTACTATTCCTCATAAAAGAATTTTACGAAAGCTGGCACCCTTGGTGCGTGATAGCTACGTAATATCCTTAGTTTCATCCTTTTTAAAGATACCAATGACCAAAATGGAATTAATTGTTCTATTACGGAAGTTGGGATCCCACACGCTGGGTTAATCACTAAGGTCTTATACAATTTGATGTTGGATGATTTCGACCGGGGATTTAAACAGCTATACCCTAGTCTTTCTTATTATCGTTACTTGGGTTACTGTTACGTATTATTTACATAGTTTAGTCTCCAAAGCGAGCAGCAGTGTGAAGAAGAAATGAATAGTATCCTCTTAGAGTTAGATCTTGATGGGGATATCACAACTATTCTACCTGGTGGGGGTGCCCATGTGACTCGTGATGGGCGTTTGATTATTCTAAGTCGAGATTGCGGTCTTCACGTTGTCGAACAGTCAACATTCTTTCTTTAGTTCAATTTGTAGTCAATATGTTTTATACAAAAACGAACCCATGCAACGATAGGAAATCCTTTTTTTAGAGAGCCAATGCCTTAAGACAGACCCTAATAGCAGTTGTCGCCTACTTCACTGAGTTGTGGTTCTAAAAAGAAGATTTAGCTTGGTATATTCCATCAAGAGAAAGCCATATCTATATATAGAAAGAAAAATAGAAATTGTATACAGGTGCTTACACTTTCCTGAGGATTCTAAGACCCGATCACCCGTCAAAGAAATATCCTTAGGTCTTAAGTCTACAGCTCCGTAGCTTGTGTCGCCTACATAGGGTAGAAAAGAATGCTTTGCATGAACATCTCAATGTCCAAGATAAAAAGAACGAGGGGAAGAATCGACGAGGCGAGTGTTCTCGAAGAGAAAATCGTGATGGAAAAAGCGTGAGGAGAATTCGAAACTCGAGATATGCAAAATAAAAAGACTCCCTGGGAGATGGTATTCTTTGTTTTAGGTCTTGATAGATTTTTCTATCGATTGAAGTTATTACGCTGGCTGATTAAATCTCTTCCTAACGCCTTTAGGGGCTGTGAAGAGAGCCCAGTTCCAGGCCCTCTTTTAGAAAGAAAAAAATGGTACAAAAAGAGGGCTTGGGGGTATATATACTATAAAAATTGATGATGGTTTATCATCATCAGAACAAAGATCAGTCTAGGTCGAGATGAATGGAAGATGCTTCTGGAACTAGTTTTTGATAGGGTCTATCTTAGCTCGAAGGAAAGAACAACCAAAGTTAGACCCCCAAAGAATATGGATTCAAATCTGTTAGTATTTGACAAAGAACCTAACGGAATTTAACAAGCAGTAACCGGAATCAAAGTTTTGCAAAATGGTGTCAACCGGTAATAGAATGTAGCTAGATAACTGATGCCACAGCATCCAAAATATGTGGGATGGAGTTCATGGTACACTAACTTAACCTTCAAGGTCAGATAGTGCTACAGTGAACATCAATCCACTATCTAGCTCAAAATTAGCCTCACGAACTACTAACACTATTATTCGCGTAGCCCTTTTTTGTTTTGTGCTATTTCATCATAGGCTGTCGGAACTTGCTTCTTAGCGCTACGTGGGAAGAGAATTTCTCTATTCAGCCCCCCCGACTTCAATTACAAACTCTTACTTCTCGGTCTAACTTGGACTAATCCATTAGCAGGCAAGAAATTCCTACTAACCAGACAGAAAGTAAGTTTCCACTCACTACCAAAGCGCTGTCGCACCTCTACTATTTTCGGCGTAACGAGGTTTTAGTCTTTACGAGGGCACCCCCTGGCCAGATTCAATCCCAAGGGTCAATCAAGCCTTTGAAACTAGTGAAAATAGTCGTCACAGTCTGAGTTCCTGCTTTCAACGAGACTTTCTTAGCTTGTCAAACTTTCTCTCCTTCACCAGGAAAGTTATCCGGTAAGCAAGATCTTTGATTGATGTGCCTGAATAAGGTTGATCAATGGTAGCTGCTTGGAGCTTTCTCTATACCTTAATTGAACTGCCCCGCTCTTAGCTCGGGTTCTTGCTTAATGAGGCGTCCCTTGTTTGCTCTTGGATTGGACTAAGCGGCAATCCTTACTGTGGAAGCAGACCTTGTCATTCTTCTCCTTCAATGCCAGTGGATAAGTACACTAGGGCTGGAATGCTCTTTTATCATGTATGTGGATTACTTGGTCGATTACCTGATTGCACTAGTCTCATAGCCATCTCTTTAGCGTCCCGCCATTCCTTCTTGTTAACACAGGAAATCTAACTCATTCTAAGGTAGAGCTCTTAGAGTCCTACTTAAAGTGAAAAGTAGTTCTTTAGTTAAAGCAAGGAGAGCAGAAACGGAGGGAAAAAACCTATGTTCTTACGCGGGATGGGAATAAAGGCTACTAAGATCGGAACTCACGACCTAAGTACTAAGTAACCTTAGAATGGGGATGCCAATCTTATACAGAAAATACCGCTATCTAAAGTAACCTTGCAGGGGGGCTGCGTATAGCATTCTAAGATCTCAATACGAGAAAGAAATCAGACCTATAACCTCACTGCAGTGGCTTGTAGACTTGCTTTGCCGCGGAAAG